TTACGATCAACTCTGCAGCGTCCACGGATATTTCAATGACAGTCGCAAAGTAAGGTCATAATCAGCTCACACATTAAGGGCTGTTTTACCGATGAATTTGTCAAGTTGCTCTTGCAGTCCATTCTATGACCATGTGTCTGCTCCGCTCGCCTCTAGAGTCTTATTTATTTGGAGCTTATATGTTTTTTGAAAACGTTCTGTCGATTTACTTACGGAATACGTTCATTGATCTAATGAAGACATGCCTCTTGTTGCGAAAGGCAGAATGAAATTGGGTAATTTTGAAAGTTAGTTGGAAAATAACTTATGCTTCTGTTCGCGGCAGGAAAATCAGCTCAAAATAGCGAATAGGTAAAGTATCCAAGAGTTCGCGAAAAGCAACTCGGCCAGTTTCATTTGTAATTTTTGTGCGTGTGGGTCTGATACTGATGGGTATAACAATAGCAACTACAATTTTTACCGTCATCGACATCACTGCCAGATTAATCATTATGATAATTAATAGAATTAACAGTAGAAATATTCATACAACAAACCGCTCGCGGTAACGCTATCTGTAGCATTATTAGTCTGAGCTAGATCTACGTATGGATTAATTTTCCATTTATTAATTGAAATTATTTGAAGCTGAATTTACGGCAGGAACGCATGCCGATAATAACATTTTGTGTTTTGCAACAGTACCGTTAGACAGTCACCATGTGTAACCATGACCATGCAACCCCTGGTTGCACGCACCTGTAGGCAGACAGGTAGACACATGAGAACCTATACGGTCACTTTTGTGTCACGTGACATCTTTGATAGGACATCAACGATAGGACACGGAACGACATCAGCGAGCGTCAAGGACTAAGCCGTTTACCGCACCGATGAAAAAACGACAACAAGGATATAGCCTTAACGGAAACGCAGAAACGCGTGCGTGGGATTACTCTTAAACCTAGCGAGCGATGTACGGACTAACGGCTCAGAGGCTAACGGCATACAAATGACAGAGTTGTAATCGTACCTTTTAACGACACTTAGTCTACCAAAACGCTCCATCCCATAGCGTCCCTTTCTCCCACAAGACGCTCTACCGTTTACATGAAGAGAGCGTTTGGATTTAGCCATTGTTATGCGCCACAGCCTGTGTTCGTTTGACGAAAGAACAAAAAATGGTCGAGGAAGTACTACGTCCATGTAGCCAGATTTATATCATATCTGATCACTAACGGCAAAGCCTAAATTCCTTTAGTTCCCATTGTGTGACAGGCGTGCCTGTTTGTGTGGCTTCTTCAGTTTATTATGTAGCTGAGATCAGTGCATCAGAATCTATGCTGTGAATTCAGATATCTGCTGAGATTGAACCATCATCATCCTATGAAGATCTCCATTGTTGCTGTAACACTTAGCTAATACCTGTACGCCAGTTAGCGTGAATAGGCTACCGTACGTTCATTTCATTCTTCGATTCGAGTGTCTTAGGATCGCAGGTAACATTTGAAGGAATCATTTTTTGGCCGATAATTAGCTTATATCAAGCCTCTTGATCTGGACTTAGATGGTCAAAACAAAGTTTACGCAATTAGAAGTTCATATCTGTTATAATACTCACCGTAAGGCAAAACATAAACCCACTTGTTCCCTGATGAACATCGTATGCACTTAAATAGAACGGACGCCTTCGCACATAATATATGGTCGTAACAATGTTTGTACTGTGGGAGTGTTATTGATAATAAGTTTACTTTGTGCTATTTTCTCTTTGGAACCATGGCGGGGTCTATTGTTTCTGTGAGACGCGAAGACACGCGTGTTAGCATCTGCTGCGGGCGCATGTTTGCATGACCAAAAGGCCGGGTTCAGTGGTCTCGTCTACCCCAACGGACCATTCACGCCTTCAGTTTAAGGGCCGTTGATGTTGTCCCAATACATAAACACAGCGTGAGAGAAAAATAGATTATCAGTAGCAGCTTCAAGGTGAACGCGGACGAGGCTGAACATTGGCAATCTATGTCACACTATGTCCGCTCGTGTTGTAGTTTCCACGGTTTAGATGTCTGGGTTACCTTCGTTTAGATGTAGCGACCTTTTTGCCTGTTGTTGTTCGGTTTCTTATAATAAGAGGCGTAAAAACAGTTTCCTTACAATAGATCAGGATTTTTATCATTCTAGTGATACCGAAGGTGGCTCTACGGAGATGATGATTATCCGGGTATTAATGGTGATATTTTAAGAACTTGTCTATTCGTTAAACACGTAAGTGCTTGTGTGCTTGGCAAATTGTCACCTAGTTTTGTTCTTGATTGAATTGACTTATTAGTACGGCCCGGCATTGATTGGATTGGTTCAATTATACCAGTTCGGCAAATTTCTTTTTTTTTTTTGGTCAACAAAATGGAGCTTTCTAAGAAGAAGTGCTTTAGTATATAACATGCTAACGCGATAGCATACGAATCGTCGTACTAGAGTTGTTAAGTAGTACATATTGTATAAGGTAAATTCAGAACATAAACAATTGATCGATACATAGTACATAAATCAATCGTGCACTACCAATCGGGATAAAAATTGCATGGGTAGTACCGACAGTTACTGCGTTTACCCCCTAAAGTGAAAAATTAAAATGCAAACGCCTACCAATTTAGGTATTAAGCAAATACGTTCACTTGCCATGATAGAAATAGTATTCCCGATACCTGTTAACTGTTTTTAGATAAGTGTGGTGAAACGACGCTTACCGACAATTCGGGACGTAAAATTTGTTCATTTAATACCTTTAGCTAAGCTTCGTGGACTCCAAAGATTTACTTTACGCCTTCGGGACGCATAAGTGATCGACGACTGTTTGTTGTATTTATTGTTGTATATATGGTTTGTGGGCGACGTTAGTCGAGAGCAATTTTACACACGGCTAAGAACATATATACCTACCATGTTAGGTAAGTTGTACGTATACTAATGCTTGTCAGAATGGTACAGTGGTGGCTTTTCGGTCTCTTAGTTCTAATAGTTGTCTTAATAATCTCGCCCACATTGACAGCAAATTAGTTTCACAGACCATCTGGATGAACTAAAAATTCTTAATTTTTTTTCTATGTCACTTTCGCTTTATGCCGAATTGAGATCGATCACCAAAACCGAGACAAAATTCTTAAACAGTTCATAATATATAAGCGACAGCTGACCGGAGAAAATATATCATCAAGGTATCATGGCTGACGCTACGATCACGTGCCTATTTATAGTGAGTATAAATGTAGGGGTACCGGCAAAGACGAAAGACAATTGTTGATGTTAATGCAAAAACGACGGGAAGTCGTACGTTTCAAACACTATCGAGCGCTTCTATTTTTTTGCTAGCGTTTTACACGAATTTATGCAACAGGGTAGACCAATTCGTACACCTTGCCAAGATGCGTCTGACTCTGGCGTGAGATGACTGCGTAAAATCTGTTGCTTTCGTTTTCCGCTATTGATACCCGGTCTTCTTTGTACAGATCCGCCTGTACATGAACGTATGTACGTGGATCCGCCTGCGTGTGTTTCGTAAGTCGTATATGAGAGTGTTAGCTGTGGATTTAACCATTTCAACCGCTAATGAAATCAGCATGGCGCGTTTTTTGAATGCTTACGTGACACCACAGCATATGTTGCGCTTCTTGTTAATGCATTGCTTGGTACTTGGTCATTTGGGCTCGAAGTGCCGATTGTTTTTGCTAAATAGAATTATGAGCTTTCTATTTACCTTTTAGTCTGCTCAAACATTACTTGCTTGTAGTATGGTTCACAACACTCATCAAATGCGGCGTAATTGAAATACAAGTTTGTAACAATTTTCCGACAGCAGAACTATCGCAAAAATTCTGCTATTAACGGTTGAGGTTTTTCGAAACATCGCCTGGTAACTTGGTTCGTAATGGGATGATAGTCTAGAGCAAAGATTCTTTTCGGTAACGGCTACCGTTAGTAACAATTTAATCGAATTCTAATGAACCTTGTAGTCGAGATTGAGAGTATATTATGAGAATATTTATCTCCATCTGGCCGGAATGAAGGTTAATGCTTGAAATTATCTAGTCGTTACCGTTGTGATCCTTCGACAGAAAGCTCTCTCATGCTTCATTGGTATAGAAGTAAATAACAGATTTTATACATAGCATGAATCAGCTTCGCAGTACGAATGTTGATTCTACTGCAAAAAAAAACATTCAAAGCAAATGATATGCCGTTGCTTAAATATGGTTTGTTCATGTTTCAAGCTTTAATAGGTTTCATGTATCGAACTAAACACGCTTTTGCTATAATGTAGTAATACATGTGGGATTCAGTTGACAAAAACGGCCTAAAAGGTCTGTGTGAATCAGTGTATCTGTATATGGTTTACGTTACAATTTGTGATTAAAGCACGCACAGAAAAGCGCCTGAATTCAGTTAGTTAGGTGACGAATCTATGAAAGGGGTTATCGCGTGAGATCGTTGTATCTCTATTTCCTGAAAATTTTCACTGGTCTATTCAAGGGCTTATGCTGCTGTATTAAGAAAGTTATATATACATATATATATATATATATGAGACATTCGTGCCCGTTACCGGTTCATTGATCAGTGTACATTACGCGATTTCAGAACGAACTACTTCAATTAACTTTCGGATTAAATAGTTACCATTATATAGATTACATTGTACAGATTATAGATAAGGGAAATTGCTTAACAATCGTCTATAGTCGACGCACGTTCAGTTTCTATGTGTGTGTCTCTGATCTTGATGGCTTATTTGTACTACAATAAGTTTCGATGCTTAGGCAGCTAAATTGAGCTTTATTGGACCATCTACAACCCAATCTTATTTTGACCGTCGGACAAAATGATACAAATTCCTTTACGTACATACGCTTATTATAATTGTTATGAATAAGGGCATCCTTGTTTGACTGAAGACATTATCCAGTACTCGAGAACAACCAATGGCTGCTGAGGCGACCCTAGATTTATAAATATTATCATTACAGGAGGGGAGTGGCAACTACTTTCTACGCTAGTCTTGATCTCAAGTAGCAGCATTCGAACTTGTCCGACAAGAACCTTCAGCCGCAATCATCTAAGCCACAGTAATACATGGACTAACATCAGAAACCTCATGCTCAGCGGCATAAGTACATAATAGTAAGCTGAATATTTTGGTTGAAAATGTTTTGATGCATAATCGGTAGAAGACATAGTTCCCTAGATAATCAGTGTTTCTATGGAAATGTATAATTTTCATGGTACATTCCAGCTGATTTGTTCGTTATGCGCCATTAGAATGGCTCCCTCTATGGCAGACATGCAGCGTGCGAACATCAAATCAAAACGTAAGAAAGTGAACGAAGGGAAGTAAGCTTACTCGATCACTAATTGGGAGCTGATGAATGACTTTGGCTTTGCTGACATTAATCCCTTATACGCTTCGGCAATCCCGCGTCTATCCGATTGGCTGGGCTACGGCATGTCGGGATATCGCATAAGGGAGGTGCGGGGGTCATTTGCCGATACGTTGGCAGGCACCTACTCGACTCCCGCTCCAGTTCACTTGTTGAAACGTTGAATCGATCATAAAGATCGCCGTAGTGCGGCCTTTAGATATCCTCCACTTGTTGTCCTTGTCGAAAATTTTCAGTCGGTCTTAACTGTTAAAGCGAGTACATCACAGGTCGCTCTGCCACATTAGTTATATATCTAGTCCCGTAGTAGTACTGACATCTTGGCCCAAACAAAGGATGATTCTATTAGAATTTGAGACAATGCCAAATGGGTTTTCTGAATTGCTTCCCTGGCCGTCGCCCAATGTAGACGATAGTTGGCTTGCTAGGCTTAGAGGTTCCATGTTTTGTTTCAGTCTTACCGTAGCTTGCCACTACCAGGCAGTAAATGTATTCTAGACTGCTAGCACCTGCCGTCACTAGTACGGATATATGACAAATGCAGTTATTTCTATGCAGTCGAAAGAATTGATACATCGTAAATGACTATTATTGTACTAAGAAGATGTGGATGTAAGTATTCGCAAGGAAACGAAGTTATGATTTGGTGATGGCCATCTGCTGCTCTTGTAGACGTCCTTTTTTGATAATAGGCCAGGCCTCCTAGTGAGTCTTGTATTTGTGGGATCCTTAATCGTTATACCAATACAACCCGGTTCGATTTCGTTTTCCATTGATTCAGACGGATTCGTACCATAAACATAGTAAAAAAACAATTAACATGGAATAAAACGATTAGTAGCTTCTTTCAGAGGAACAGCCATTTCTATGAAAAAATAATTTATAGATCAGTCCGTATAAAGTGAGAAGCTGCGCCGGCGACATGCGAACGGTAAAGCAAATCTTAATAAGAGGCTTGTTATTGTTTGACGAACTACCTGCTTTTATTCTGCACTGCATTACTTAGAAATATTCAGAAATGTCGTAAGTTAAAGTATAAAATGTTTATTCTTTGTTACGACGCGTTCTCTTATTCACCGAGTGAGCAAAAGAAGTGCTAAGCGAAAAATTCAATTGTCAGCAGTTTGAAGTTGCTCTAAAATGATGTGGCATGTTCCATTTGTGTACATGACCTTGAAGTGTCGTTTCTTATTATTGCCCGATCAGGATATTACGGCGACTGACGTTTTTATCAAATATTTTGTCGTCTGAGCTTTACTGGAACAGATCGAGGAGTCTTAATTAGATATTAACGTTTTACGTTGACTATTGATAAGTGTCACATGCTACAGTCCTCTGCGTAGCTGAATGGGGATGCAGATCATTGAGACGCTAATCTCGTTATGCCAAGAAAATATTTGGCCTAGAACGAGAATTTGAGCAGGTAGGCGGTTCAGAAGTCTTACGCTCGCGAATCGAGTATATACAAGCCAAAGCAAAGCGGAAATACAGGTCAGTGTAAGAAGCCACCTCGAGTCTCTGCCGTGGATACATACTCAGAAAATTGAAACAGAGCGAAAAATTCAAGCTTATAGGTCTATGTAGTGAGTTGAAGCCTTTTTTTTTTGAAGGAGAACTGAGGCGGCATTTAGTACTTCTGTCAATATCCATAAATATATTAATTTACCTGATTCAAACTATTCGCATCATATATGTCCTAAAAGTAAAGAACGAATTATCTTTTTTGACCGTGTATTTCAGGGTTACTCTGCTAAGACTTCCCGACATAGACCTCCACTAAACGATCGCCAAAATGCCGAAGCCGGTAAGTCAGGCATCTTAAGCGCTATTGTGTTATAGTTTCCATTACAGATAGAGCTCACATTGGTATTACTTCTAGATGGCGCAGGAGATTTGCGTCGAACACCCACGCTCTAAATTTTGCTTTATTCCGAAAATCAGCACTGTCGTATTTACTAAGTATAAAATTTACACTGTACTAACTGACCTTACGCTAGCATGACCGTACGTTTTTGGCAAGCTAGGACGTGATCAACCGCATCTAACTTCAAGTTTCGAAAAAGCTCGATTGTATACCTCAGAGCCGAAGGCCTCCATCGCTAAAATAATGTTTCTCTGTCTCAGGTTAGCAGGACTGATACTGCCAAGAAAGAGACTGCTTCAGCCAGTCGTTTATGCAACGCTGCCTGCAAATATCTCCCTTATAGTACCTGAAGATTATGTCTTTGAACCGTTTAAGTCAATACGAAATTGAAAACTAAGTTGTTAAAGTGATTGATACAGCTCATCGAGGCAGCATTTCGAAAGCACTTCGTTCACCTTTTCAGTGAGCGCTCGGGACGTGCGCGCGTATTATAAAAACGAGTTCGTACGTTAGACAGGGAGTGAGATTCTTTCTTGGGTGAAATTGGGTGAACTGAGCTTCCTTCAGTTGTACCTAATACGCTGTAACGCATTTACAAACCCAGCGAGTCTAATCCATCTCCGTCTCTCTTTCGAGAAAGCAAGAAAAAAGTGTCAGCTTTAAAGCCCCATTGAAGAAGTTTCAAATGAACTATAATATTACTTAATTTAAAAAGCGTTCTGGGTGCTTATAACGGGTGTATAGAACACACGTTGTTTATAAGTGGAGTGTCATTTACTGAAATCATCGGATATCATCGTTCAAACTGAACCACACAGACCGCGTTTCTAGCCAGTTCTAAAACAAATCTAGCAACATTAAATCTCCTGCATAAAATTTCAAGAAGAACAAGAAGCTACATATGCATCAGGTGTTCCATGAATGCTCTTAAACGGTTACGTAGTTAGACAAACCTGTTTATACATAACCTTCCTTTTTTCTTCATTCTTCTTCTCTTCTACTTGATGTGCGATTCGTGATTAAAGGTCGAATTAAAGTAAACGTCATTGGTCGCTCGTACGTGAGCTCCAAACGCGCGCACTGCCAATCCTTGCTTAAAAAAGCTGCAGTTAAGAACGTCAAATCAGCCTTCGCGTTGAGTACGAAACGGTCGTACCGCCACTCTGTTCGTCACTGAACAATTCCGCCGTTAGGTTAACTCGTTAGTCGAAATGGTGCGGCAAACGACGAGCAGATGGGTCGTACTCATAGACTGACCAGCTGCAGCTGAAACGAGCTCACTTATGATCCCGTGCTGACCTCTCACGCACTAAACGATCGCATTCTTACACGGACGCTCTCTTAGTGTGCTCATTGTCATTCCTAATTATAGACACTAACTACCTCTAACATAAAAATAACCACTATAAAAACGAAACATTGATAAGAGTAGAAATGGTCATAACACGCATTCATTTGCTAAACTTCGTAATTATGTTCAACTGCAGCGAGCTCAGTTATGGTCAAATAATGACAGACTGCTAACTTACTGTTACTACGGCTATTTAGCTTTTAAGTTAAATAGTAAATGGCACGTAAAAAAGAAGTTAGTGTTAACGACGGTTATTGTTGCGGCGACTGCTGCTACAGCGTCCACTGAACAGGCAATATCAGCATTATTGAGTAGTTTGCCTATCGTTGCGTAGCCCGTCACATCAACTGGATATAACTTAGAACTGCAGCAAGACTTTGTTGAAGCCTAGGTATACGGGTGGCCATGGGATTCTTGTACCCGATAAACAGCCTGCTCAGCTACATCAACCGGCGCACGTAGATTGGGCTGGGCCGATTACGCGTAGAAACAAATTGAAGCTGTTTATGGCGGCCAGAGTGACTATGGCACTCACTGATGCTACGAATGATCCTTAGATACCTTCTACAGGTTTCGACTGCAATGAACGTTAATGAAAGGGCAAAAAAAAAGTAGGAAAATGGTCTCGCTAGCAGATACTTTGTTCGATGAGTACATAGGATTACTCACCGTTGATATCATCGGAATGAGCATATCGCCTATCGTCTCTTTGAGGTTTTCGGGATACACTTAGATCAAACAGGCCTTGTTTGCTTGTCAGCTATATCTAAGTAAAACAAGAAGTAAGTTTCAATGGCATTTTTCTCATGGATTGATAGGGACATCCCTCATCTTTAATTCGATCACGATGTAACCGTCAGTCATTTCGATCCCGGCTTCCATTCATAAGTTGAACCCGTTACAAATTCTTTTTTAAATACGTGAATAACCCTTTGAGGCGCGAAAATATGCAGTGAATTTCAATTTTTTTGTAGTAAACCAAAAATTTGTTACAAAAGTGTAGCACTAAAAATACATTTTCCACACAGAAGCCACAAGAACACGCTGGATAAAAGGTGTTCATCTTTTTTCTTATTCAAACTACGCTTCCGCCATGATGAATTCGTGGTTCTGCTTCACAATAAAATAAATTATGTATAATAGCAAATAAAAGATACGGATATAATAAACAGAATAACAATAAAAAAATTTAAAAAAAAAACAATAAAAAGATACGGATGCGCATATACCCGTTACAACTGATAATCCGTGTGAAACGTACCCTGACTTGTTCTGAATATCGTGCATACAAATATGTGTGTGTGTGTGTGTGTGTGTGTGTGTGTGTGTGTGTGTGTGTGTGTGTGTGTGTGTGTGTGTGTGTGTGTGTGTGTGTGTGTGTGTGTGTGTGTGTGTGTGTGTGTGTGTGTGTGTGTGTGTGTGTGTGTGTGTGTGTGTGTGTGTGTGTGTGTGTGTGTGTGTGTGTGTGTGTGTGTGTGTGTGTGTGTGTGTGTGTGTGTGTGTGTGTGTGTGTGTGTGTGTGTGTGTGTGTGTGTGTGTGTGTGTGTGTGTGTGTGTGTGTGTGTGTGTGTGTGTGTGTGTGTGTGTGTGTGTGTGTGTGTGTGTGTGTGTGTGTGTGTGTGTGTGTGTGTGTGTGTGTGTGTGTGTGTGTGTGTGTGTGTGTGTGTGTGTGTGTGTGTGTGTGTGTGTGTGTGTGTGTGTGTGTGTGTGTGTGTGTGTGTGTGTGTGTGTGTGTGTGTGTGTGTGTGTGTGTGTGTGTGTGTGTGTGTGTGTGTGTGTGTGTGTGTGTGTGTGTGTGTGTGTGTGTGTGTGTGTGGTGATACTTTCTTGAAAGCAGAGGGAGCAATGATTTTTCGAAAAACAGCTGCCGGTGAAATAAGTGGAACTTCATTGGTTGTTTTTAATGTTGTGCTACAGTGAACTGAACTAGGAAGACAAGGTTTGACAATTACTAAGTCCTGAAAGATTACACTATAGTACCCATGTATTAACACCTGTTGGAAAATCACACCTCTTTTAATATAGCTCGATTACACGGTGGTTAGCCGATGTATCATGGCCGATTCAAACGTCAACCTTTGAGCTCTGAATTTATACGCAACAACGACCACTACTGCTATTAGCATTGTGCTCGCCTTAGGAAGGAGCTTATCAAAACAAATTTAATATGTGACAAAAACAGTTGCGGCCGTCGTTGTATTGTTTCATGTTCTCGGCCTAGCGCCATTTCCTATAAACGTACCATAAGGTCGAACGAGCGTCCACTATAGGTCTGTAGTTACATTCCCACTGCCACATATAGCTGTTCGTTTCCCTGTGCATTGCATTCGTCTTCTGTTCTTACCTACGTATGTTCACGCTTTTCTCTGTGTATTGCGCGTAAACTTTCTCAAGTATCAGTGTTCGTTCCCAGAACGGCCAGCGGCTGTTTTCCTTGAGGCGGCTGTATAAAATAGTCTCAGTACTGGCTGTGCCGTTCGTATTGCAATATACTATAGTCTCAGGAGCATCTCGGCCGTACGTAATGCTGATTTCTGAACTACATACTATCTCATGTGAGCGGAAGTGCTCACATGAGATAGTCGAAACATATGCCGTTGTCACAGCGAGTCATTGAGGAACAGTGAACGGCCACCGAAGCCGCTGCTGCTCCCGTCACTTGAAGTGACAGACAATCTAAACAAAGCTGCCGCAGAATCGAAGTGAATAAAATAGCAGCCTCACTGACGATTTGTCCCGCTTGCCGGTAGTTCATTTCAGCTCCCCCTACTGCTGCCGACAGTTCGACGCCGTGCAGACGCTCATCCCGTTGCGGCGTAGAACGGCTACTTCTGTGGAATTACGTGCCTACCAGTTCGACGTGTAGCTTTCATGTTTGCGTTTTGAGCTGGCCCGTTCCAGTATGTTACGGGCGCGCTGACTGATTGCTTTACTGCTACTGACTGCTGGCTCGTCTGTCCTCCTCCTTCAATGGTACTATGTGTTGACATTACTATATAACGCTTGCGGGATCGACAGCAATGCTCTCTATCTCATTTATTCGTTGCATTCGCTCGTTTGTTCATCCGCTGGAACATTAGTGTGCTTATAGCGGCATGCGCAGTAACTGTTTGGGTGAGTGAAGTGTATTGTCGAGAGATGCTAAAAATTGTCATATATAACGCCATGGAAGTTATGAAGGATGGCCTATGGCCCACAGCGAGCCTATTGGTGGATAGGCTCGCTGTGGGCCAGAGGGTTTAGCGATATACTGCGTCGTACTAGATTCAGTTTCAGAGAGCGAACTTTCTTGCTTCGGAAGACGCTAACTGCAGAAAGTGTCGTGCAGGCTTATAGTTGCTAGTCGGAGATCTGCAAGTTCCGTTTAAGTTGTCGCTCGTTCGAGTATCGAACGCTGCTTGTTCTCTGCAAGTTCATTAGAAGCTCTCTGATGTTTGCCAAGCTGCCGCTACTGATCGCTGATACGAATGGGCGTTGTATAGGTGACTTTGAGATGCGGCCGCCAACTTAACGTCAAAAATAATTCTGTGGTTGCACGGGCTATATAGAGAGAGCCTTGGCGATGACATCGGCACATGATTAATCGACT